CAGGAACCCGGTTTGTCCGACCCCGCCCCGGCGTTCCCAACTATTGGCATGCGAGGTTTCCCTGAACCGACTAGTTACTTAGCCAGGGTGTCCCATTCCACCTTGTGGTTGCACTTTGATTATGTTCGATGAGTTTCCCACAGGAATCGGTCCTTATATGCGAATACGGGACAGTGCCACATAGGCACAACCCCCGCATCGCGAGTTTTCACAATTCATTTTATTTTCAAACACACCGACACCACATGTCGGGTTTTGAAGGCTTCACAAACCCATTTCCCAAGTTTTCGACAAACAACGGTGTATGTGGGATATTTGGTATACGCGCTCAGAGAGCACGAATACTGAGGTACCACAAGGGTGGAGCGACAAGGAATCAGGGTAGTACGACCTACGGAAATTAGTGCGACTACTGGGTAGGTCCGTCGGTTTGGCACGCAAACCGAGGCCAAGCAAGTTAAGTGTGTGATTCTAATAATGCAAGTTGCAAACAAAATAATAATGACTTTTCAATTATAGGAGCAATTGATCAAAGGGTGACTTGCCTTGCTCAAGGTCTTCACGAAGCTTCACGAATCTTCGAGAAAACCCGCGATCGACGAAAATCCAATAACCGCAACTATACGCAAACAATCGAAAACCTAAACAAAAGACCAAAAGAAAGATCCTGTTTAGACCTATTAGTAGTGCCATTAAATAGGATCTCAATTTTACGGAATTACTGGAAGTGGAACGGAGTCAATCGGAGTTACGGATTGGGTGATATGAATTTTGGAAGTTTAATTGGAGTTTCTGGAGTAGGAGAAATGGTTTATGGAATTTATAGAAATAATATTCTCAAGAATATTATTGACAGTCACTGTCATGCGGGACCAAAGGAAACGGTTTATGGAATTTTGGAATAAGGAATTGATTTATGGGACAAAGGAAAAAGGATTTATTAAATCCCTGGAAAAAGAAAAGGATGGAGGGATGTTAATTGGACTTGGGCCGAGCGAAGGGGCGCGGCCCGAAGAGATGCGCGGGCGCGGCCGAGGCGAGCGGGCCGGCGCGCGGAAGGGAGGCGGCCCAAGGCCGAACGAGGCGCGGCCCACGCGACGCAAGCCGGTGGACGCGGTCCACCGTGCCGGGCGCAAGGTGGGACCCACAAGGCGGCGACACGGCTCACGCGAGCGGGGTGCACGCAAGGCGGCGCGTTGGATCGGTGGACCGGGAGACCTTTGACCGGTCTCCGCGGGGCCGGGCGGCTGAGGTGGCATCCACGTGGATGCCACGTCGGATGGGGAAGGGAGAGGAGGCCGGGCAGGCTGATCCGATGGCCGGCGACGAGCGACGTGAACCGGCGAACGGCGGCGAGGTGGATTGGGGGGGTTAGCACCGGAAGAGAGAGGAGGCCAAGGGGAATCGATTCAACGGAGCGGATTAGCCGGGGGAAAAACGACGGCGGCTGGCGGCGGCGACCAATCTCGCCGGCACGCCGACGTGGCCGCGCGCGAGAAGAGCGAAGGGCGCGCGGGCTCGGGCTTAGCCGAACCGGTACGCGACCGCGATGCGCACGCGGGGACGCGGGACCCGATGGTCACCGGCGGCGCACGCACGGCAGCGTTAGGCGGCGGCGGAAGCGGCGACACGGCGCGGAGACAAAGGAGAAGGCCGACGGCCTTGGGGCAGCCAGGGGGAGGTCAAGGGGATCCCCGGGAGCGTGGCGGCGAGAGGAATCGACGCGAGAGGAGCTGACGACGGCGGATTTCGACGGCGATCGTCGACGGCGAGCAAAGAGGGAAAACTTCACTGGGGCAACGGGGGTTCGATTCGTTGGAGCTGGAGCATCTACGCGAGGTCGCGAGCTCATTCCACCGGTCGAGAGGGCACGGGCGACGCCGAGAGAGGCCGGCGACGGCGAGCGACGCCCGGGACAGAGCAAGGGCGCGCGGCGAGATGTGACGCACGGCGGCGGGCGCGGCGCGGCGTGCGACAGGGGAAAAGGGGGTTCAGTGGGGAGCTCACCGACGAGAGAAACGGAGTCGGCGGCGCGGATGGAGTCGCGGCGAGGCGGACGCGACGGCGGGGCGGCGCGGCACCGAGAGGGCGCGGCCGGGGAAGAAGAGATGGAGAGGCGCGAGGATGGGGGCGGCGCGGAGCTCCTCGTCGACTCCTCATGCTCGCAAGCTCCCCGACACGCACGACGGCAGAGGAGGGCGAGAACGACGACGAACGGCGAGGCGGCAGTGGTGTGATGGAGGAGAGGAAGCGAGAGGTATGGGAGGGGGTGTGGGTTTTATAGGTGGCGATGTCGGTTTGAGAGAACCGACCTTGGGGCGGTCAAGGAGATGAGGCGGGTGGCGCGAGCGGTCAAGCGGCGCAGAGGTGGTGACGCCGGCGGTGGTCGGGAAAGGGAAAAAGAAGGGGAAAAAGGGGCTTGGTCCCTTGCCATAATGAGGAGAGGGAGAGTGAGGAGGAGGAGGAGAGGGAGAGCAGCTGCTTCTCCCACTCTTGGACGGGTGCGGCGTGGAGCGGCGGGGGCCATGGATGACGTCGGCGATGACGGCGGCGGTCGGTTTGTCATGGAGCGGGGGCAAGGCGGCAGCACGTGGCGTCGGCGACGCAAGGGCTGATGGCGGCGGCGTTCGGCCGGTCGGCCACTGAGCGAGCGAGCGCGCGCGACGCGGGGGTGCGGCCGGATTTCGAACGGCGGCGGCGGGAAATCGACGCCGGTGGGGGAGCTTCTACGGGAGAGGGAGAGAAACGGAGAGAGAGAGAGGGAGCGAGGATGAGAAGAGAGTGGGCGATCTCTCTCTCGAGCGCGGCGCACGCGCAACGCACGTGTGGAGGGAGGGGAGGGGAGGAACGGCTGAGAGAGGAGATGGGCCGAGGGGAGGGGGATCAGGCCCATCCAAAATTAGAAGGAGGCAAAATAGACTTATGCAGAGAGATGATTTGGAAGGGATTTGGATTTGGAATGAAATTTCGAATATGATTACTTGGACTCGGGGAAACAGGGAGGAGTCAAGGAATGGATTCAAGGTGGACTCGGTATTTTTGGAATCGGGACAAGTGTTTGGCGAGGATTCAAAGGAGGCGATTGAATTTCGGAATTTGATTTCGGAGACTTAAATTGGAAGAGGAATTTCGATGAGGATGATTTTGATGGCGACGAGAGGGATCAAGGACGGATTTAAACTGAGATCCACGGCACGACTTAGACTCGCACACAAAGAACGAAAATTTTTGCAATTAGGATTTTTCCGAATTAGTTTTTAACGCCTCACGAAAAGCGGAGCGTTACATATGTTGAGCGATATGGCTTTGTAGAAATGATGTGGTTTTGAAGAATCCAAACTCAACTATTTTTGCAAGTTATTTTTCAGGGGAACACATTGGACAAGGCAATGGTTGTTGTTGGTCAAGGATGAAGAGAGCGACACTCTGAAGAATGGTTATCGCCAGATAGAGAATAATGTCATGGAGTTTTTCTCTAAAACTGGATGGAACTTGAGAAGTTGATTGGGGATGTGATGTGGTATCATTGTGGGTCTTAAGTACTTTGTAAGGATGTTTGGAGCTACTTGTTTTTCAGAATTGTGTGAGCATAATTAAGTGTTTATGTTGGTTAGTTGTGTGGAAATCCTTTTTGTGAGGTCGAGTCTATGTACTTTTTTGTATTTTAGCTGTGTATATATCCCCATTGGATATATAGAGGGCGGGTTTTTAATCCATTATAAGACATTTTATCTAGGCTTGTGAGATAGACACTTCCTCTGTTTTATATTATAAATCGTTTTGACTTTTTTTTACGTTTAAACAAACTTATAAAAAGGTATAATAATATTTCCAACACAAAACAAACATATTATTAAAATATATTTAATGCATAAAATTTTATGGAATATGCAGTACTTTCTCCATATTAAAATTTAAGCACTTTTAACTACTAATGCAGGTAATAGAGGGAGTATGTCGGCATAGCAAATGACAACTTAGACGAGACACGATGAGTATTAAAGATAAGGGGACGATTGGACCAGCCTTCTGAAGAGCTAGTAGCATATACGTACGGTACCATACATGCACCGTCCATCGATGTCGATAGAGAGTTGAACACAAACAATGTACTCATACAAATGATGCAGCTATCACATGCATGATGCAATAATAATATAATGCTAAAGCTTTTGTAGCACCGGAAAACTATTTATCCATCATCCCGTGAACCCATCATGGTCGTATTCTAAGTCTAATCTAGCTAGCTACACTCTACACAGGGATATACTCTCTTCTTCCCTAAATGTTTGACACCGTTGACTTTTTTAAACATGTTTAACCGTTCGTTTTATTTAAAAACTTTTGTGATATGTGTAAAACTATATGTATACATAAAAGTATATTTAACAATAAATCAAATGATAGAAAAAGAATTAATAATTACTTAAATTTTTTTGAATAATACGAACGGTCAAACATTTTTAAAAAAGTCAACGGCGTCAAACATTTTGAGATGGAGGTAGTATATGTGTACTACTAGCTATATGATTATATGCACACAACTGTACATTAACCTAACCTGATGACCAGGAGATCGAGATTAATCATCTAGCTAGACGTACAAACCGACCGTGGATTAAACTGCTCATTCGCGCCTAGGGAATCGATTCCGCTAATTAATTACGGTGTTCAAACAGTAATCTACACTCATTGTATACAGATATCGCCCATGTAAAACCAAGTAATCCTCCATGTTACACCGCTGTCACACATCGTCTTTCCTCCATCACATCAGGCCAAGCAGGTCAAGCAAAAAATCATGGAGACAGCCAAACAAACCACGGGCTGATGGAAAAGAAAGGCAGGGTCGGCCAGCCATATTTCTGCATCGGTCTCTGAAATCTGAATACTACATCCATGTGTGTTATCCAGTCACTGAGTCACGGCTTCTTGTCGCATTTGGCCCATCTCCCGAAGAACATATATGTTAATGTACCATTTCTACGTACTCCTACTCCATTCCGTTGGTGGCGAGTGAGCGATCTCTATATAAAGCCGAGATCCCCCAACTCGGAGAGCTCAGCTCATCACACTTGCAGTTGCAGTGGTGGTAGACTGGTAGTGCATTCTCAGCTTAATTTGCTTGAGCTAGTAGCTGCTCGTGAGCTGTGCACCAATGGCGTCGTCCAGGGCGTCGGCTTCCTGTGCCCTCTTCCTCGCCCTCAACCTCCTCCTCTTCGCCATCACCACCGCCTGCCCGTCCTGCGGCAGCGGCGGCGGCGGCGGCCATGGCCATTACGGTGGCGGCGGCAGCAGCGGCGGAGGCGGCGGCTACGGAGGAGGCAGCGGCGGCTACGGAGGAGGCGGCAGCAGCGGCGGCGGATACGGCGGCGGCGGGGGGTCGTCGACGAGCGGGTGGTACGGGAAGTGCCCGACGGACGCGCTGAAGCTGGGGGTGTGCGCGAACGTGCTGGACCTGATAAAGGCGAAGGCGGGGGTGCCGGCGACGGAGCCGTGCTGCCCGCTGCTGAACGGGCTGGTGGACCTGGAGGCGGCGGTGTGCCTGTGCACGGCCATCAAGGCCAACGTGCTGGGCATCAACCTCAACCTCCCCATCCACCTCAGCCTCATCCTCAACTTCTGCGGCAAGGGCGTCCCCACCGGCTTCATGTGCTCTTAATCTCTCTTTTCATCCACATTTCGCATTAATTAATTACCATGCATTTTACCTATTACAATCTTCTAATTTGGGAGTCATTTAGTTAATAAGCTAGTGTCGTCGTTGTTGCGTGCCAAGGTTTTAGGTTAGTTGTGTGTTGATTGCTAGCTAATGTCCTACTAGCATTGAGTTGTAGGTACCAGTTTGATTGCTTTCCTTTGATGCGTATTTGTTCGCTCGCTGGGTAATTGTCACCAGTTTGTGTGTGTTGTAATGTCTTGTTTTAGTTTCACTGTTTCGGATTCAAATTTAAGATGGAACCTGAACAATCCAGGTTTTTGAAAATTCCCTTGTCTACATGAATGGTTCAATTCACTACTACTTCAGTTAAAAATGTCCCGATGGATGAACAATCGCACAGACAAACATATTCTCTTGCACAAACATCCTGCAAGAGAATAAAACTATAGCCTGTGTTTGTAGATACGCCAACATCCGCCTCGGGCATCGTGCTCTGCACAGTCAGACTCGTGCATGAATCCAGGCCATGGAGTCTCTGCAGCAGCAGCAAGATTTTTCTGCTGGGTGCAGTGCAAGTTGATGTTCACGGGCGAGGTTTACTGGCGCTTGGGCCTCACCAAGGCCGAGGTGATCATGTGGGCTTGTAGGGAGCAAACGGAAAGCCCACTCTATCTCTTGGGCTGTGGCACAGATGGCCCATTGGGTTGTCCATGTATTCTAAACAGGCCCATTTTTAACTACTCTATATATACTGCAAGTGCAATAGTAGTGGCTGACGGTCTAGACTCTCGTACGTTATTATCTGCTATGATGTACTGATAATACAATTCCCGTTGGTTAATTAGTAGCTATCAGCTCATTTCATTAGAAAGAAAATGGATAGAGTTTCTTACATAAACAACAGATATATTTTACAGGGCAAATATCATTGTTGACTCTTGGGTAACTCAAAGGACAAGCCCTTGAAGGAATAATTGATATACAGTTTGTGAACACTGAATATGCATATTGCATACACCTCAATAACTCAATCTCTATCCACAAACTGTGATATTCAATTCTACACACCAACATGAACACCAACGCCCTTAAATATACGTAAGATACATATATACACTGTTAATCAAACCGAATTACATCCATCCATCAACTTAACATTCATGAACATGAAAAGACCAACAAATTAGTGCCCTTCCAACAAACTGAACATTTACCTGGGAAAGTAATGCGACCGGCCAACCAGGGGACCATGTATCTTTAATTTCTTGGTCATCGTCTAATTTTTTGTTTTAATTTACTTGTTTCAGGCACGAACATATACATAAAAACATCAGTAATGTCGGCTCAGATCACCGGTCAGTCCGTGACGCTGGTACTAGCATTAGTACTCTTTGCATCTTAATTTATATAAGTGGGCGAGTGATTGACACTCTGCTCCATCTCCGTGTACTTTGATGATCAGAAACACCAACCAGAAGTTGCAATCGCCGGGACAGATGCTCCCATGTCAACCTTCTGCTTTGCCTGAATCTGAATCAAGTTTGCCCGGAGGCTCACTTCCTGCACCTGCAGTCCAAACACAATGTAAGCCATGAAACAGAATTATTTGTCATCAACTAATCCAGGAGCTTGAGCTTTCGTTGCAACAAAAGAACAACTAGACTAGACAAAAACAAATAGAATTAGGGAGTAGGCAGCCAGGCAGCACTAGTGCTGGAGAAATGGAGTATATGACAATCAATCCAAATCTTAGTAGTACAGAAGATACTGATCTCACTAGACCAGATTAGACTAGACTAAATCTGGTTCTGGTGAGAGTGAGGCATCAGCTAAAAACGACCATTTACCAACCTGCAAGCTAGTGACAATCCTTGCCAGCTTCATGGCTTCCTGCAGGCCCTCCACCTCCTGCTTTATCGTCGTCGACAGTTCTTCCAGCGTGCTGCTCGTCACCCCAGCCTGAATAATAATGCACCACCAAAAAAAAAAATCAATCACTCATGCAAGGTTCATATAATTGCATCTAAACTAACCTTTCCTAGTAACCTCGCCTCAAAATCGCCTGTTTGTTATCTTTATCAGCCAAAACCAAATTTTAAATTTTAAAAGTTAGTTTAAGTCGTTGATTTTTCTAAGGTTTTTTCATTGTAGTTTATTTTTAATATTGGTTTTAAACCGTTAAGAACGCAGATGTAAAATTTTTCCATTAGATTATTTTTAGTTGCTCAGTTTATTTTTCGACAGTTTAGTGGTTGATTTATCAAAAAGCTGAATTAATTAAGCGTGTACCGTGGCGAAGAACATGTCGGCGTTGGCTTCGATGTCGTTCACCGTGCCCACGCACGCGAACATGGCTTCGTGCAAGCTCTCCATGTCGCCCTGCAAATGTGAGCAATTTGTTGATGGTTGGTTGGTTGATCAAAGAGTGTAAATATTTCTGTCAGAGACGACGAGGGGAGTAGTGGAGTATACTTGGGCGCCGTCGGCTAAGGGGAGCGCGGTGCAGGCGGCGGCGAGGACGGCGCCGAGGTCGTCGACGGCGTCGGCGTGCGGCTTGGCGAGGGAGTCCCACGACGCGAGCAGCGAGAGCTGCGGCCGGAGCAGCCTCGCCAGCTTCAGCTTCTGCCGCCGCCGCTGCGCCACGATCCGCTTCGCCGCCTGGATGTTCCGGAGCTCCGCCACCCGCAGCCACGTGTAGAACAGCTTGTTCTGCATCCATCCATCCATGGCGCGCCGTCAGAACATGTACGGGAAGCGAGCTAGCGTGCGTCCATGGCGATCGGTGTCACGGCCTCACCTCGGCGGCGGCGGTGGCGCGGGCCATGGCCTTCTCCATGCGGGCGTTGGCGAAGCGCCACTGGAGCAAGCGCGCGGCGAGCATGCGCGCGCGGTGCGCCGCCTCCTCCTTCTCGGGCTCCTCCTTCCTCCGCGTCATCATGTCCCTGAGCACGGCCGATCCTCTGGTGCTCCCGGCGTTCTCCGGCGACGACGACCCCCCCGATGAGCTCCGCCTCGGCCGCCTCGCCGGCTCCCACGGGCCCCTCGCCGCGGCCGTACCCAGCTCGTGCACGGTGTTCTCCTTGCTGCTCAGCGCCCGCCGCGGCGGCGCCGCCGCCTTCACGGCGACGGCGCCGTCGTCGTCGGCGCTGTACTGCTTCTTGCCGCCGCCGCCGAACGAGGCCGCCTTACGGAGGGACCGCGCGAAGTTGGTCGACGAGAAGAGCGGCGCCGGGCGCATCCCATCGTAGACGAACGCGCCGGCGCCGCCGGCGCGCGACGCCGTGGTGCTCGCGCTCCGCGCCAGCAGCCGCCTCGACGCCGTGAGCGGCCGCGCCGCGCCGCCGCCGACGCCATTGGACTCCATAAATTAAATAAATTAATAAATATAAGTTAATAAATATCGCGGCGATTAAGCTTGGCCGATCAGAGCAAGTACATTGCTGGCAAACCCTAGATTCTAAGTTGGGGAGAACCCTGCAGCACTAGCTCTCGATCGAGCTAGTGCTCCGGCTTCAAGAAACTTGTTGCCGCCTATACGTTGCATCGTGGAGAGGTAGAAGAAGAGTGTTCTTGAGAGGGCACGTCGCTCTCTTGACATGATGGAAGAGCTAGATTTTATTCTTCTATATACGCACTAGCTAATTGCAATTAATCATGTACATTAGACATTTGTACAACACATTTCCTGCCAATTGAATACGTCCATGTGCTACGATACTTTCAGTGTAGATACGTAGAGAAGGATGCCTTAATTTGTGACGTATTTGATGGGTTCAGATACTAAGATTATTGTTTAAGCATACACACCCACAAAAAAGGGAGAGATTTGTAGAGAGAGAGATGCTCCTCCAAACATTTTTTAAGAAAAAAAAATATATCTGGCCCATCGTTTTGCTTATTCGGGGAATAAGCGAAACAACATATTTGCAAACAGAAAATAATTTGTGAATAAAACTTTTATACACATGTTTTTATCAACCTAAAAGCGAAGGCCAAAAAATAAACTTCGATGAAAAAAAACCCAAAATGAACTCCAAATTTAAGGTCGAAAAATCAAATTTTGTTTGATAAGTATAAGCGAAAAGATGAGACCCTTAGGGTTAAAATCACGCATCCCTTACCACGTACTGCATCTCTTGTTTAAGCATACACGTGAAAGAAAATGTCCAATCATTTTCTTTTTGTTTAAGCATACACGCGAAAAATGATTTCTTTTTCACGTAGTCTTTTTGGATGCATGTGGAATTGTGGAAAGGGAGATGAGAGAAATGCGAGGTAGAAAATGGTGTGGGGTTTGGTGGGAGAAAGGGAGAGGAGAGCTCGATCGATGGCCATTGTTCATGCATGGCGACCTAAAAAGGGGGGCCAATTTGGCCATTATGCATGCTTCATCCTCGCACACGCAGGAGCTGGCTGCTTGTGATGGTGTAATCTGCGGCGGAAGAAAGGGAGAGAGAGATGTCAACGTTGGGAGAGATAAAATGGCGTATTTAGGTGAGATTTGTGAAGGTACTGGCTACCTATCTACCGAAAGAAACCTGTATCGGTCCATATACTACTGATCCTGAGTCAAGGTCACGGCCATCTAATAATTCTTCATTTTATTTGATTTTTAAAACTGACAGGCTCACCACCCTAATGGATTAAATTTAGGCCTTGATGAAAGTTGTCTCCATTAGTTCAAACCCAAATTAAATAATGGGCCTAATCCTCTTGGGCCAGATTTGCTGATTAGCTAAACAACAAACTATACTGTTTCTTTCTTCAGAGCCCAAGACCGGGGTTACAGATTGTTTGCTGAAAAACGGTATGACCGTATGATCAGTGCAAACTTTGCTGAAAACTGAACAAGCAGGGGAGACTCCTGCCGATGAATAAGTTGTCCATGTTCCAGATTAGGTCAGAATATTCATCACATGCATCATGTTGAAGGTGATAATAAGGTCATTTGATTAATTCCAATCCCTACGCATAGAAGACATGCAACACATAGTAGGTAGGAGTATATGTAATGTATTTTGAGTGATTAATTAATTAGTGGCATGCAAACAAATATTGGGCCTAACCTCTTTGGACAAACTACTGATGGGCCACATCCTCTGGGCCAAATTTGCTGAAGTCTTTAGAACAGTTGTGTGCTATTACAGTTCACGGATGACCTTACCTTATGCTGGGGCTACAAATAACTGTTTAAACAGTATGATCACTGCTATTTTTTTATGTTGGTTGCTAACTACAGTAGATTCTTATATTTGGAACAGAGGCTGTCAATATTGGATAACCCACGGTGTACAACTGACATTTTCTAGTACAGTACCTAATCCTCTCTGAATCTGAACTCTGAAGAAACAACTGTAACATATGTGACTGATTCATCTAAAGCGAGAAGGAAACGGTAAAAAACAGAGATCTTCGACTAATTTCTAGGACTAATAACAGCATGCGCGTTGTGGTTGCACCCATATACGCATTCTTCTTTCTTCTAGGTTGGTTGACCTTGTGCTAGATGACAACCTGAATATGTTGAAGATAATATCTGAATAATCCTGCTACTTGTGGCATTAATTAATTGTGGCCTTAAGAAGCTACCTAGACTTTTTTTTGGGAGTACTAAGCTTTCCTCCTCAAATGTGCACTACACTACTAACACCTGAAGCATATTTCAGGTCATATATCACCAAACTAATCACTGATTAAAACCCTCCCGAGATTGTACTCTCATTCTGAATTTCTAATCTATTTCCATTGCGACTCTGAATTTCTGGCCGGTGAGTTGAGTGTGGCCGCCACGCGATATGATATTATCTGGCAGGAAGTCAATACGAGTGACGTGGACATGCATACCACATGAGTGGCTGACAGATGGGCCCAGCTGAGCTGCCCGAAGACTCTGACGAGCACACACACACGTTCGTGACGTTGGTTAAAATTGGTCAAAACAAAGAGAGTATCGATCCGTCGCGGTCGCCTTGCCCTAGACGTATTACTGCATCTGCGAATCGATCGACCGTATGAATCCGAAGAACCGAAGCAAACATATCATCGACGAAAAGGTCAGGTCAGCACCACTCAGCAAAAGTGCAGCGAATTAATCAACGTGTGCGAAAAGTGCGTGTGCACTGGAGTACCTGATAAGTAGTCGACAAGTCGTGTCTTCACCGCGTGAATCTTCCGTTGGAATTAATGAATGGGCCTTAGCCCACTCGAAGATTAATTCTTTGGAAAATCACAAAAGCCCACCTCATGGGATGGTATGCATGTGGAGTTTAGTACCACCTTGCTTATTCTAGGAGAGGGGGACCTCCTTAAAAGGGAGGATGCCCTCCTAGTTGCTTGAAGCATGTGTGGTGGAGAGAAGAGGGGAAACACACGCGCGCGCTCGCTCGCTTGCCTCGCAGGCTCCTTTTGCAGTTTTGTTTTGTTGCAAATTCGGATTCGTTTTTGTTTTGGAAACGTTCCGAAAGATCCGGTGCGTGCAAACGGCGTGGAGTCCGGATAAGTTACGCGCGACTTATCCGGTTCGGTTACGCGCAGTAGAGATCGTGCGGGCGCCCTGATCAAGCGACCCTTCTCTATATAAACCGACCTGCCGTCTTCACGCAACATACAAAAAAAATCAATCTAGGGTTTGCTTCCTACCTCTGTACTGCGCCGTCGCTCGTAGACTACTCCATCCCGCTCGCCGGCGTGCACCGGCGATCGGGAGAGCAGGTCTCCGGAACCTCTGCCTTCGACGTTCTGCACCGGGAGAAGGCGGCAATAAGGTTTTTGGGAAGCGCTTCGCGCGACTGCTCCCTGTTCGTTCGCGACGGCTCGCCTTCCTCTTCGCTCGCGTGTTTCGTGCCTTCGTAGACACTTGCGAAAAGTTTCGACCAAGCAGCCGGTCTTTCCGTCACCTCGGTACGTGTTCAATATGTTGCGCATATTTGATCTGTTCATGTTATACTGTGTAGTTTACATGTGTAGATCTAATGATGCGTTCATGCTAGTTTTTATCTGTAATGTCATGATTTATTTATGGAATAGATTAAATCATTATATGTCTATAATCTCAACATCTTCATCGCATCGTATCGTATCGTATCAGTAGTTTTTATGGAGTAGTTTTATTTTTTTTAACCTTGGGTAATGTATTGCTAGTACACACTATACACACAGGTTTTGCCTGAAAGTCTGAATGTGCGAGCTACTGAGCTGGTCGTTTCTGAAGGAGTCCGTCGTCCATCGAGATACTCCTCTTAGGAGCAGTAACTTTCATGCTTTATGTGACAGCAAAGGTTGGCATGACTGATTAACCAAAGGTAATGGTCGTTGATGGTGAGCTACAGAGCTAGTGGTGTGTCCTCTTGTTGTGCCAGTGACTAGTGTTAACGATCGTTAATATCCTAACCGTGTGAATCGATCGGTCGTATACTACTGGTAATAGTAATATTGTGGATTTGTAATACTCCATCCATCACATTTTATGTATAGTTTTTATTCTGTGTTCAACGTTTAACTTTTCGTCTTATTTTACTTTTTTCTTAATTATTAGATGATAAAAATATGAATAGTATTTTATGTGTGACTTATTTTCTAAAAAAATATTAATTTCTTAAATAAGACGGACGGTCAAATGTTAGACGCATAGACTGAAAACTGCACTTAAAATGAGACGAGGAAGTAGGAGAAGTGAAATTCTAAAGTTGAGCGGGGTGAAGCTAGATATATGAGGGGTGCCCAGGAACCCGATAAAGCTTTATCTCATCTATTTTACCATGTGTGTATCCCTAAATATAAATTTATACAACCGAATCAGTTTAAACTTGATCTAAAGTAAAATAATTTAAGCAAGTGTCACCTCTTTTCATTTCGTTTTAGCTGCGCCCCTTACTTGAATAGTACTCCCTCCATCCCAAAATATTTGACGCCGTTGACTTTTTAAAATATGTTTGACCGTTTGTTTTATTTAAAAAATTTAAGTAATTATTAATTCTTTTCATATCATTTGATTCATTGTTAAATAGTTTTTTTATGTATACATATAGTTTTACATATTTCACAAAAGTTATTAAATAAGATGAACGGTCAAACATGTTTAAAAAAAGTTAATGGCGTCAAATAGGGAATACTAGTATATTTCGTTTCCTTCACAGGCAAGTGAGTCCGGCCGCATTTGAAGTCAAAGAGTAGTAGTAGAAGAGAAGAGGAGGTCTGAAGGGAAGCTGCAGCCTGCAGTTTCGTGAAACCCCAAAGTATCTTCTTGCCTGCATCTGCATCTGCAACCTGGAACAGTAGTACTCACTCTGCAAGTGCCAAGTAGCAGTAGCGATCATGGGCGTTGGCCGGCCCACTGACGTACGGTGCACTAGTAGCTTTGAGAGTTGGAAGAGAGTGACCGTGGCGCTGGCTACCTCTGACCACGGCCATGGTCACGGTGGGTTCAACTGGCAACTGCTGCCAACGCGCATCCGACGCAGCACGGCTAATCCGCTACTCCAATATGATGCCAATACGCCGCTGCGCCTAACCGGGCGGTGGATTGGTGGCTGCAATATATTGCATGGACGTACGACTCTACAAGTCAATCGCGGCGTGCGTGCCCGCGCAGCGCGTGGTTGGTGTCGCGATTCAATTCAAACTTGGGTCAGCCCGTTTTGGAAGCAGAGATCACAAGGGGACAAACCGAGCGAGCGAGCGAGCTAGACCGGCAACCGAAGCAAAACCAAAGCTAAGCTAGCGACCGGCTTATTAACCGGCCGGGTACGTTGGTGACGACCACGACGCTTCAATCCCCTTTTTTTCCACTTCGATACGACGAAGATTTTTTTTAATGAACGTGCAAAAAAAATTACACGACTAACATAGTTTTAATTACACAATACAAATCGGTCAGACTGGCTTATGCCAGGGAAAAGGGAGAAAAGATAAAATAAAAAAGCTGAAGCTTAGAAAACTACCGTGGCTAAACATAAACTCCAAACAGCGGGAAGGGGCCGAACCACGCTATACACCCAACAAGTCTCTAAAAGCAGCAACGTCAGCTTAAAACCACAGATGGCCTTCCGAGTGGATGGACTCCAGAACCACTAAGACTGAAGAGAGCACAAAGTCGAAAACCCTACGGTCCCGTTCCTTTCACAGCTCCCAAAAGACCACGAGACATGACGAAGATTCAACACTCGCCGTTGCTATAAGTACGATCGAGTCTATGAGTAAACAAAAGATATTTTGGATTAGCTGGAAGCTGTCGAGCGAGCGTGGCGACACGGCCATTCTCTTCCTCCTAGGCAAAACGTCCTCGTGTGCCACGTACTACTGTAGTGCGTTGCTACTGGTACGTGACAAAGCACACTAGCTACGTACTGTTGGCTCGGCCTTATCGCGACGCCCACGAGAAACGAAAGCTGCATATTCTTGGCACACTTTTCACCCAACACTTTTTTGGCCTTTGGACGCTCATCCGGCCGGATAAATACCGGACCTCACTCTCACGACTTTATCCAGTTTTCTTCATTAGTAAGTAGATTATTATCATGTAATCTTTTTAGTTACAGAGGTATACAAAACGTGGCTGGGTTCGTTCCTAGAGGAAAGATTGTCACACATATCCTAAACTATTAAATGATGTGTGTTTTAAAAAAAATACACCAATTTTTAAAGTTCAAATTATTAATATTAATTAATTATATGTTAATGACTCATCCATCATATCTTTTCAATATTATTCTTTTCACATCTCTCTGGTTAAAGCTAAACTGTTTTAAATTTAACTAAATTTATAAACAAATATAGTAATATTTATAATATTAAATTAGTATCATCAAATCAATAATTGAACATATTTTTATAATAAATTTGTCTTGGGTTGAAAATATTAGTACTTTTTTCTATAAACTTAGTCAAACTTAAATCAGTTTGACTTTAACTAAAGTCAAAACATCTTATATCCTATAACAGGAAGAGTACTAATTAAAACAGTCATCAGCACAGGCATGTAGGACAACACAGGGATCGCGATCGATGATCGATGATCTCATCGTCGGCGATATATATATTTATCATTCTTTCTTTGGAGTGCTACAATAAGATTATAAGTGGCCTTGGGGGGAGGGGGGGGGGGGGGTGGGAGGGGAATCATGGAGCGAGTTAACATCAGCACACGATAGAAACGGGTTTAATTAATCCTGACGTGTGAGGTTTCAATTGGATCGTTTCAGTTGGAATTAAGAGCAGGTACAATAGCTGGCTATAGACCAGCTGCAGACATATTTTAAAGAGATAAATAAGGAGAGAGAAGAGCAGCGGGCTACAGATTTGTAGCCAGTTATAGTACGGACTCCAAAATACAATATGTGTATGACAGATGGGACCAGGTATTAATAGTGTAGTATATAACTATTGTATGGATAAGCTATTAAATTAACTATAGATGAATTGAAACTAGCAGTTGGCTATACTATTAAACTTGCTCTAATGGAAAGGGGCAAGCAAAGGATCAGACCAATGAGGCATATGCTTTTTCTTTACAATGATAGATGCCACCTTTAATAGCTCAACCCAAAATATTAAAGTATTCCTCTGACTATATCCGATACTACCTTATCTAAAAGCCGTCATTTGTGTCGTTTACAGTTGATTATAAGTAAAATAATCTAAAGATAAAATTTCTATATATATTCCCTCTGAGTTAATAATACTTGTCGTTTTGAACAATAGTACGGTCTCAAAAAAACAACTTTGATCATTATTTTATTTATAATATGTACTCCCTCCATCATAAAATATTTGACGCCGTTGACTTTTTTAAAAATATTTGACCGTTCGTCTTATTCAAAAAGTAATTATTAATTCTTTCATATCATTTGATTTATTGTTAAATATAATTTTACGTATACATATAATTTTTACATATTTCATAAAAGTTTTTGAATAAGATGAACGGTCAAACAAGTTTAAAAAAGTTAACGGCGTCAAACATTTAGGGAAAGAGGGAGTATAAAAGTGCTAACAAATATATGATTTTATTAAATTATTTTTTAAGACTAATCTATACATATAGTTACAATATTTAAAAGATAAATATTTAAAAAATGATTCATAATCAAAGATTCTAAAGTTTGACCTCATCCTTATCTAAAATGAAAATATTACAAACCCGGATGGAGTACGTTTTTAGTGATCTAAAGGTCAATGTAAGAAATAAAGCATGATGAAAGATAACAATAATCAACTTTAATGGTGAAATTCTAATATTTCAATTTTGTTTGCGGCTGGTACATTGATTGAAGAGCAAACAGCAAAGAGTTTGCAACTGATTCCTGTACGATTAAATTCCCTGCCCGCTATTAGAGATTATGCAACTGCCGGACGGTGACGTACAAAGAGAACGATTCTCTCCTTTAAATTTGACATTGAGCAACAAAATTAAATATCTTGATCGTAGATGTACCTGAAGAGAAGCAAAGCCTTGGAGAGGTTGAGCCGTTGAACAGCTCGTCTACACGTCATGGGAATAGAAAAATAATTTTCCGAATAACATAAGCCCAGGTTTACGTGCACTAAGCCTGCAGCCTGGCTAAATCTCTGCGTAACATAAGCTTTAATACTACTCCATTTGCAGCTTGATTAATTGAAGCTTAGCTTGCCGCTGCCATTTAATATGCCGTCACCGATGCTGATGATGCGGATCTCTGGCGAAAGATTTTCACACACATCTCTGTACCAAACCAAAGCATCAATTCTTTTTGTTCTGAATTGGCTCATTTTTTTTAACCGCAAAAAAGGAGAAGAAAATAGTAATTCGTATTTTTTCCCTTTTTTTTTGGCTAAAAGAAACACTCTATCTCTGATTCGCTGATAAAAAAGGGGAGAGCTCGTGCCGTTGTGCGTGTGTAGCATTTGTGTTGACGACGACGAGGTCGGCCGGGGGCGACGAACGGGTCAATCCGAGCCGTCCAATCCCCGCACGCGTCTTTACTTCGCCTTCGTCTTTCCTCTTTCCTTTCACGAGCCGCGCGGCGCACAGAGCGTTTGCTGCACCTTCTTTTTCTCTCTCTCTCTCTCTCTCTTTCTCATCCGCGCGCGCGTGACACGGCCACGCGCACCCAGCCGTCGCTGCGGGGGTGGGCCCACTCCCGATCCGGCCCCACCTGTCAGGCACGTGTGGGCCCCACCCCTCCACGAGCACACCCATAAATAAGGGAAACGCCGCGCCGGCCGCTTCCCCTCCTCCTCGTTCGTCTCCTCTCTTCTCCATTTTTTTTCTCTCCTCTGCTTTTGAAGGAACTCGAGAAGCATCAGCCGCATCTCTACTACTACTACTACTACCCTTGCTCTGTCTGATCCAAGTCCAGGCAGCAGCTAGCTAGCGTGGTGGTGGTGGAGTCGACGGGGATGGGGTGGTGGCCGCCGGCTGCGTGGCGGCGGTGGGGGGTGGTGGTCGTCGTCGTGGCGGCGTTGATGGCGGTGTCGGCGACGGCGGCGGTGGAGGAGGAGTTGGGAGGGAGGGAGAGTGGAGTCGTGGCAGCGGCGGCGCAGGGGCGGTGGCCGAGGCACCGGCACGCGTACGCGGCGATGATGTACATGGGGACGCCGAGGGACTACGAGTTCTACGTCGCCGTGCGCGTCATGATGCGCTCCCTCGCCAGGATCGGCGCCGACGCCGACCGCGTCCTCATCGCCTCCGCCGACGTCCCCGCCGACTGGGTCCGCGCAATGTGAGTCTCTCTCTCCGCCTCTCCGATGCTCACCTCACCATCGCTAATCGTCGAAACGCGGGGGTAATTACCCTCGCTAAGCCATTGCCAGCGCACGCTAGTTTCTTAATTAATCAATAAAGCCGCGTTTCTTCCTATGGAGGTTTCTGTTTTTGAGAGAGCTTTTCTTCCTCTGGAGTTGGGAACAAGGAAGAAGAAGAAGATGACGTGGAAAGGGCATTTCGGGTATTTTTCAACTAGGATTTAATACTAGTAGATGGTTTCGTGGGAGGGGGCCGGGCCCACCTGCAGAAGGGGAAGCTTCCTATCTGATTAATATTTTAGTGTATCGGATTTTCTCAATGTGTTTGACGATATGAGATGTGCACTGCATATGCTCGGTTTCAACTGGTGATGTTCTTGTCTGATTACATTACCGTTAGTTACTTGTTCTTTCTGGCTAGTCGCTATATATGCCAATATGAAAAATAGTTGTGATTTGGGACGGTTGCGCTGGCTTTGGAACTTTGACTATCTGTTTGCTTGCCTTGGTTGGTAAGGAGTACTAGTTCAATTAATGTGGTCAACTTTCCTTTCTTTGAAAAAATGAATCAGTTGCACCGATGGATATTCTCAGGGACGGTCAAATCCCAAATGATTTGTTCGAAACTTCGAATCAATGGCTTCTTTGTCATAGTCAAAACGTTTCAGACAACATGCAATGCGAACAAAGATGGTTGCAATCACATTTCTTGTTCAAAACTTTCCATGCTGTGGTTTGTTATTACAAGATCTTCATGTGATCTTTTTTTTTTGGAACTTGACACCTTTTTTATTGTGAATGGAAACAGGAGGGAAGAGGATGGCATGAGAGTGGTGCTGGTGGAGAATATGAAGAATCCTTATGAGAGCAACCTTGGAGGGATCAACAGGAGGTTTAAGCTGACGCTGAACAAGCTCTATGCGTGGACCCTGGTTGACTATGAGCGCGTCGTCATGATCGACTCCGATAACATCTTCCTTCAGAAGACCGATGAGCTCTTCCAGTGTGGACAGTTCTGTGCCGTTTTCATCAACCCTTGCTACTTCCACACTGGTCTTTTCGTGCTCCAGGTACGATGATGCAATTCCTGTACTTTGTACAGTATTTTCTAGTCTGTACCACCTGTTCTGTAACTCAACCTAGAATAGGATGTGATCTAACCTAATACAATAAATCTGGATAGGAGGTTTGTCCAGATTCGTTGTACTAGGTTTGGTCACATCTTATTTTAGGTTGGGTTACTTTGGGACAGAAGGAGTATGCTGGTTGAGATTCTGTTGCCTTGATGATTAAAATAAGTTGCTTCTGCCAGGTTACATAGTGTTCATTAGAGTAAAAACGGTGTGTTTCTTAAATTTGACCATACCTACAGCTGTGTTGATGGTGGCATTGGATTGGTAATGGGTCATATGACAGTTGAGCCACTACCACTGGATTGATCATGCATTGGCCATTTGGAGGGTTTGATGAAATATGAGCTGTATTCTGCCAATCTGTACAGTGGATTTTAGCCATTGGCAGGTCACAGACTGGATATTTTCCTTCCATATTCATTAGAATATAGTATCCGTTAGGGAAGTACTACGATGAAATAGCATGTCATTAATAAATAATCAGTGTTAAGTTGTCACACCTGAAAATATCTTCTGCTCACACATATGTAGTGGCAAACAAGTAATCTGATGCTGGTACTATTTCCTGTTACAGTAATCTGACATCGGCAACATTTTCCATTTACAGCCTTCTATGGATGTCTTCAAAGGCATGCTTCATGACCTAGAGATTGGCCGTGCCAACTCTGATGGTGCTGACCAAGGGTTTCTTGTCGGCTGCTACCCAGACTTGCTTGATAGACCAATGTTCCACCCTCCTGAGAATGGCAGCAAGCTCAACGGGACATATCGCCTTCCTCTTGGTTATCAGATGGATGCATCCTACTACTGTTAGTACTACTGTTATACATTTCTCACTTTCATTTTGCTCTTGCCTCTCAAAGATTATCTTTGACACCCTTTTGGTGGAATAATGCAGATCTCAAGTTGCATTGGCATGTCCCTTGTGGGCCCAACAGCGTTATCACATTCCCCAGCGCCCCTTGGTTTAAACCTTGGTATTGGTGGTCATGGCCAATCTTGCCACTGGGCCTTTCCTGGCACAAGCAACGGTGGGATGATCTTGGGTGAGTAAAGACAAGAACTGAACTGAAAAAATGTGCTTGAGCAGACTCTAAACTCCACTTTCATCCTTACTGTTCACTTAACCTTTGCATGTTCACATCAACAGGTATGCCGCTGAAATGCCAGTGATCCTGATGGAGATATTGATGTACGCAGTCATTATAACCATTACCAGGTTGGCAAAGCCTGGGATGACAAAACTGTGCTATAACCGGCGGCCCGAGAAGCAAAATGCCATGGTGCAGGGGCTGATCAAGATGTCTGCAATCGTGGCCATGCTAATTGCATATGCCATCCCGTTCTTTATAATCCCACGCACGGTTCACCCATTCATGGGCTGGTCCATGTACCTGTTTGGTGCATTGGCATTGGGAGTGCTCGTGAGCAATGCCTTCTTGCTTCCATTGCTTGCTGTGCTCACGCCCTGGTTAGCTATTATTGGCATGTTCTTCGTCATGGCATTCCCGTGGTACCATGGTGGTATCGTGAGGGTTCTGGCAATCTTCGGGTACGCATTTTGTTCTGCGCCGTTCTTGTGGGCGTCTCTGGTGAGGGTGATGGACTCGTTGCAGACTATGCTCGAGAGGGAACCGTTCTTCCCTCGGCTTGGTGAACCGGCCCAGGAAACCGAATTCAGCAAGCTGTTTTGATTCAATTTGTACAGATTCAGATGCATCTTCATTTGGACAGAATCACATTCTCTAATTCTTGATTCATTCTGACGATTTTGGCTCAGGCATTCTACTTTGTGTCAGCAGCAATGTATGCCTGCAGCAACCATGATTGATGCAGATACAGTAAAGATAGATCAGTCATACTCTCAAATGGGTAAAGTGCGTGTTTAGCACATGGAATGGGACGGGGGATTGTTGTACATTACCTTTTTCTTTCTTTCCAAAGCTGAGTTTTAGAGCAGTTTACTCTCAAATTCCTTCTCTATGAAAACTACGCATATACAATCTTGTTGGACTTGGAAACCATAATGCTATTATTATTAAGTGACATACAAGTATCTGAACAAGAAGTCTACTAGCAACGAAATCCAGACTCAGAACTGACCACGAGATTTATCATCGGGCAAGTTGCACGATTTACATCTGGTTGATTTGAAACAGCAAATGAAGAATTTTGATCGAAACTTGTAATTTTGATAAATTGGCAGAATGTCAACAAGTCATCCTCCCTTCGTTTAATCATATGAGTACGGCGAACAAGACTATATAAAATACTGTACTACGCAATTGAAGTTAGCTGGTAGAACAACAAGAACGCTGTTGTGATAAGTCTGCTATCTATGGTTGGAGAGATTAGAACGTACACGGCTTCCTAAACTTGAGCATCTTGCCTTGACTTCTCTAACAATTTGCTCTGTAGTTGTGGTTGTTTAGGAAGAACAATCTTAGCCCCTTGACCTGATGACGAGAAATATCTCTCCAAAATCATCTACAACCAAAGTAAAACTGGTCAAGTTCAGGTAGAAACTGCCACAAGGAGAGAAGTCTGAAGAAGCATTCCGAAACATAGAAATACCATGGCAGAATACGCATCAGATTTGACATCACGTGCAGACCTCTTGACTCCCCTGAAAAACAAAGTTCCAGACTCTGAACAATGCTTTCTAGTACTGAAATTTACAGAACATGTTAGGACGACGACAGCGAGGATTCAGGTAGCCATGATTTACCTGGAGATCATGAACTCGAGGGCGTCGATCGTTGTCCCGTACTCATCCTGCAGATACACCCGCAATCCCCTGCACATTTTCAGATAGACGCATGATTATGAACACGACACTGAACATTGCACATTGCAGGGCAACCTTTCGGAGTTGCATTTTGCCGGCGTAAGTCTTTTCATAGTTTCAGTTTTTATTTTGCCTTTTCTCCCTTCCCCTAGCATAAGCCGGTCCGGCTAATTGCGTTGTGTAACAAAAACTCTTTTTCTTCTAATATATTGATGCAGGGCAACCACACTGACTGACTGAACATTGAACAGTGCAGTGCAGTCTGCAGCTTTGCAGCCACACGCAATGCAACGCACCTGTCGGCCGCTTGGACGGCGAGCCTCCCGACGACGCTCCGAACCTTGTTGGACTGCGGCGTCTCGCTCCCGTCGGCGGAGACGGGGAGCCCCACGATCAGCTCGTCCGCCTCCTGCAGAAGAGGGGAGAAAAACGAGCGGCAAATTCACAAACCGCCGCCACATTTGGGGAGGAAATAATAATCAAAATACGCGTTGAGTTTGATCATTCATCTGCACCTGCTGCTGAGCTATGTCAAGCAGCATCAGCTCCAGCTTCTGCCCACGCAGCTTCAGAACCTAAGCAGAGGACTCCGATTTCAGATCGCCCACCCAAGACGACGCAGCAAACGAGAGGGGGTTCGAGCGAGAATGCGTACGGTGAGGGGACGGGGGAGGGTGATGCCCCTGCCGACGGCGACTCCGGTGCGTGCTTCTCCCAGGTCCACGCCGAGGCTGAACCCGCAGCCGTCCCGCCGCCGCGCCGCGTTGGGCAGGAGCGCGGCGGGTAGCTCGTCGGGGCTCCCGGCGCCGTTCGAAGGAGGAGAGGCCCTGATAGCGTTGGCTCTGACACTGCGTGGTGGCTGCGGCGGAAGCTGGAATCTCCGGAGAGCGGCGGCGGCGGCGGTATCCGCGCCGGCTCGTAGCAGCGGCAGCGGCTCCACCGGCTTCGCGGCTGCCATGGCGGATTGCGGAGGCGGAGCCGCGGGGAGGAAAGCGCTTCGGTCGTTGTGGATAGGGAAGTTTTTGGGCCATACTGGGCCGGGAAGTAAACCGGCTGAGATTCGAGCAGGCCCAACAAGATCGCATCAGACTATTTAGGGTCGCTGACACGTAGACCCTAATAAAAAGTTATTACAAACCTCAACATAAAAACATAGCAATTACCCCACATCAACCCACTAAATACTACTCCCTCCATCTAAAAATATAGCAACCTAAAACTAGATGGGACATCATCTAATACGATGCATCTGGACATGGACATGGAGCCTGTAACAGGTGATGTCCCATCTAGTTCTAGGGCCTATTCACTTTGATGCCAGAAAAAACCTTACCAAATTTTGTTATTGCTGAAATTTTGGCAACTGTGCTTGCCAAAATTTTAGCAGGATTTCTTATATAGTTATCAAAATTTGGCAGCAAACTAAATGTAGCCACTTTTTTGGCAACTTTACCAAAATTTGGTAAGGTTGAAAATGGCATCAAAGTGAACAGACCCCTAGATTGTTATATTATGGGACGGAGGGAGTACTACTACATTCGTGAACTTGGTACGGAGTATGCGGGAAAAATTAACTGATTCTGATGGAGATTATCTCCGAGCTTTCTGCTGCAAGTACATCTGTTCCATGTGTGATTGCCTATCTAAATAAATGAACTATGCTGATTCTGAATGTTTGACTTCGCATTTGTGTTTTCAGCTACAGACAAGATCACAAGATCGACATTCAGAATCTGGTGCTAGTGATCTGTCTGCATCCAGCGTAAAAGGAACTTGGAAGTGAAGCACAGATGAAGAGAGTGGTAAGTGCTTCTGACTTCTGAACATTTCCTTCCACACTGCAAAAATCTTACTTCTACTCACGAAGTCAACATTCTTTGTCAGAAATACTACTATTACTGCTACTAAGATTCAGTTGACCAGCCAACTGAAACCCTCAACTTGTCAATTTCGCTGATATTTTTCCTCTCTAAAGAAGAGTTCACTGCTATCGCACATGATCAATTTTGTCATCCAATGTCACAAACATCCCATCTTTGTTGCCCAGTGAATCATGAGATACTGATTTCCCACCATGAGAAACTAATCATACTACTAGATGGCCCATCTAAAATCGATAGCGCGTAAAGTATATTTTGCTTGCAAAGATTCCAAGTTTTCCAACCCATCGATCTCCTGTTTTTCCACCGAAAGATCATATCAGTTTAACAGCAATGCAACCTTTTTTTCCTCTCTAGCAAAGCATCTTGAGCCACTGTTTGTCTGTGTGGATGGACCAGTTGCTGCTAGCTGCTGCTGCTACTGCTTTCACTGTCAAGCATCTTGATCTCACCCTAATGCAGCACTGTTCGGATAATTTACAGCATGTGATTGCACATCTACATTAGCAACATCTGGGAATGGCCAGCCGAAAGAGTTCATCTTTTGTATCAGGCAAGCATCCATCCAATGCTGAGCTACTAGCTACTGATTTGTGTAATACAATAATGTACAGGGAGATGCCTGCAGCCACAAGCTACATTCGATTTCGCTTCACCCCTTTCACTGTTCGATCACCCGACAGCCAACTAATTTGGCACGTATATGTAGTACTATTGTAGGTCATCTGTAGAGCCTACCTGGCTGGCTGGGCTGCATTTCATCATACTGTCAGTACCACTACCTTGTCTTTTAACTTTGTCATGTTACCTTCATGACTGTATTTATGCAACGTTTGCTTTCCCTTTTTTTTTCTGGGTTAATTCACCTACCAGCAACCTGAATTCCAAAGCATATACTGAAGCAACCGCTGATCATCTGAAGAGCTTGATTGCTTTCTGCTTGTAGCAGATCGAGCAGGGTTCAGACAGTTCAGTATCATTAGTCGAGTGACAACTGACAGTGTGCTTAGCTCCGATCTTGTTTGGCATGCATGGCCCACGATTTGGTAGCATTGCATTGGCATTGCAATGCATCTGGTACTGCACTGTGGATGCATGATCTTTGATTATTATTGTAACTGCACAGGGGGGGACAAAGCTAAAGTAAAGTTCAGTTAGTACCACAGATGAGTGAAGCGAAGATCGAGGAGTAGCTAATTAAGCTATAGCTCTGAACATTATACACATAGCTTGACTTGGAAACTACGGTTACTTCTGCTAGCTAGCTGGTCCTCTTCTTGGTTGGAGCTAACAAATGGAGGGGGGAATCTCGTACAGAGCCGATCGAGATCGATTCTTCAGAGAAGGCAGCATATGCATCCTTGCATGCAGAATTGCAGATCGTCGATCGTCGTCGGCTACGTACAGATCGATCGTTGACCCAGTACAACAAGATCGAGGAAGATTATACAATTGGGAAACTCTAATCAGATGATTAATTGTCGTGTCAGGAATTGGGGGTTGGTGCTGGGTTAGCCAGGGTAGGTAGTAATGTCGACGCTGCCGTACCAGCAACCGAACATTGCATATGCCTGCCTGCATGCTTTCTTCTACACTCTCTGCAGCTAGCAGATGAGACTTCAATTTGGAAGCAAGTTTCCTGTCAATATATCTGATGGGGATTTCCTGTACATTTTTTCAGCCAAGTTTATACAGAATCCTTTTAATTTGCTCCCAGCAAGTTTAAAAAGCATCTAGCATGAGCACCATACACCAATTAGAAAGATGTCAAACTAGAGTGGATAAATTAATAAGACCAATCCCTAATTAATGATTACCCCCATTGACAAAGCCTAGATTTCATCATCCAACATTACACCATGCACGCACCACTGACCAAGTGAGATCAGACAGTGGCCACCACACTTCCAAAAACCTTTTATATTTCCCCAGTTGCATGTTGTGCACGCGACGACGACCCACCTGTGCGACAGAATTCTATTCTCCAATTTGCCGCCGAGATAAAATACATCAATCGATCGATCAGCAAGCAATCAACACCACCACCTGATATACATCGATCGTGGATTAATTGATCGATCGAGATGCATGGCTCAGCATGCGAGAGAAATCTCTCATGACATGGTAGATCTAGTTGGCACCGAGCCACCATGCATACACGTTAGAACTTAGAAATGTAAGTGAACCGACACGTGAATCTACTTATATAAATAAGTGGGTAACTTGTGTGTTCCCGCGTTATAGCCTGACTTGTTGCACATAGGGATACAAGTGGATTAACTCTATACCTACTTATAGATCAAATTATCAGGTGATCCGGGATCAATACACAAGTTAATTATCCACTAATTTTACCTATAAATCGATTCACGGGTCGATCTACTCGACTCCCTACGCAAGCATACACTCGAATGCATCCGCCCAATTGAGATTATTGACATGCATGCATGCGACTTACCTACTTTGTCCACCGAATCATCGGCCGTCCAACTGAATGATCGGACGTACGAACTCCGTCCAAAAGGGAATGGGGCCCACCACGACGTTGACCGGGTTCAATCTTGACTGCCACCGTGGCAGCAATGCATTAGGCATGGCACCACACCCCTAAATTAGTTGGTCTCCAGTCCATGGGTGAAGTGTACGTGCGAGTCAATGTAGAAGATCCCCTTATTAAGGCCTAACTAAACGTCAAATCTGTAATGTGTGTGTTGGAAGCTATGGCTCTCCACGGGAACCAAGCCAAGTGATCGCTCCACTGAAAATTCTGAAGAAAAAAAAATTCTAGAAGATGGAGATCGATCTGCAATGCATGGTAGAAGAAGATTCCTACTGCTACTGCTTTCTACTCCCTCCGTCCCATAAAAAGCTAACCTAGTATTGGATGTGACACATTGTAGTACTATGAATTTGTACATTTGTCCAGATTCGTAGTACTAGAACGTGTCATATCCGGTTCTAGTTTCGTTTTTTATGGGACGGAGGGAGTATGTGCTCACACTACACTGACATTTCGGCCCACCCACCAGACTCCTACCTTTCACTGAGATGATACTAGTAGTAATTTTTCGGACCAAAAAGATAAATATAGAACTAAATGTGACATATTTTACTACAACGAATCTGGATATGACAGAGGTATGTTTAAATTCGTAGTATTAGGATGTGTCACATACAATATTAGATTGTTTTTGTAGATGGAACGAGTAGTTACCTAGTACTAGTTGCCTGATTTGCATGGTTGATCTTGATAGAAAGGTGAGGGAGTGTATGAAGAACCAAACGAAAAGGAGCAAAATCGAGAGTCGCGCTAGCTAGGCTCCAAAGCAACGGCGAGCAGTTGGCAAGCTCATCTGAGCCACTGCCAGCCCGGGCCCACTGGCAGAGCCAGGCTTCCATGGCCCCACCATTCATCGTCACGCCCGTGCCATGTGGGCCACACGCCCTGACACGCTGGAACGAACAAGTACTAGTGCGAGCAGGAGAGCCTTTTTTGCATTGGCAGCCAACAGAGACAGGCACAGCTGCTCTCCTGCTGCCTGCTGCCCAGCTGCATCAGAGTATCACAGAAGCAAAGCTCCAACCAGCTAAATTCTAGTTTAATCCACTACCACTAACCAAAAAAAAAAAGAAGCTAAGATAAACTACAACAGCTAATCTCTCACTGACATTGTGGGGCCCAGTGCAGGTACCGGGCCACTGAGCATAATTAAGTGAAGTGTGTGCACAGTGCATGACTTTGTGATTCACTATCGAACAAAAAAACGGTGTGGCATGAGCATGAGTTGTGTCATGAGTGATGGGGTGTACTGGTGTTAGGCAAAAGGACAGTGTGACCACCACCTCTGGAAACATGGAAGGCACAGAGAAATCTGAGCTATAAATTTTGGTTTTTTTAGTACTTATCAATGAGCATTTTTTAATCTGATCAAGTTAGAGGAATAAGTAAACTGTTACTGGTAATGTGAAGTTCAGAGTAGCAGAGGTTAATGGTAAGACAGGTTAAGAAACGAATGAATGCGTTCAATGAGATAAATGGAGCAAAAATATCAATTTGATTTAGATACAGAGCGCCCAAAATGAAAAAAAGAATTTTCAGCTGCTCAACTGAATTTTCAGCTCTAGCAATAGCAGCAACAGCAACAGTAACTGAAGCTTAAGCAACAAGACAGAGAATTCTCCATGATCTGGTATTCTGGTTCTTGCAAGAGATGCAGAGCTTCTTACCTCGAATGAATCCATCCTTGCATGCAGCTAGGAAGCAGTTTGTCCTACCGATTTCTTGGTGATCTGGAGTTGGCAGCCATGGATGATCAGCTGGTTGGTGGTGTGTGGTCACTGTCTCGTGCTGGCGAACTCGGCGTCGTACACGGCGGAGAGCTCGAAGTCGTCCTCCATTGTCGCCGGCATGTTGAGATCGATGGAGCCGGAGCTCTCGCCGCATTTCGCCGGAGACGGCGAGGGCGAGGGCCGCGCGCCGCCGGATGGCATGTGGGCGCGCTTGTGGCCGCCCAGGGCCTGGCCGGAGTCGAACACGCGGAAGCAGAATGGGCACTCGTGGATGGCCGGCGCGGCGGCGGAGCTCGCCGGCGCCGGACGTGGCGGTGGCACGCAGCCGCCGCCCTTGCCTCTCTTGAGGCTCGCGCGGTGGCCGCCGAGCGCCTGGTACGACCGGAACACCTTCCTGCATGCGCCGCACTGGAACCTGCTGGTGCGGTGGCGCGCCGCCGCCGCCTCGCCGCCGCCGTAGCTGAGCTCCTCGTCGTGATCCTCGCCGGCCACGTCGCGGGCGTCCTCGTCTTCTTCGTCGAACACGTTGACGACGTTGTTGTTGTTCTGCTCGGCCTCCGAGCTCGCCCCCCGGTGGTGGGTCTCGTGCTCGGATCTGGAACGCGTCCACGAGTCCCGAGACAGCATCAAGAGCGACATGGCCACGTCCTCCTCCGTCGTCGCGTCGGAGACGCTGCTCGCCGGTTCGGGATCCGGCGCGCGACGCCGCCGCCGCGCCCGCTTCGACCGCCTCCGGCTCACGGCGAAGAACGACCCCGCTCCGCCGCGCGGCGGGGACGACTCCGTGTCGCTCTCGCCGTCCTGCACGACCGACGACTCGCCGCCGCCACCACCACCACCACCACCACCGGAGAATTCACCGGCGCTCACCTTGTAGCTCCTCTTGGGATTCTCGCGCAACACGTACGACGTCAGCGTCTTCTCCTGCTCCGTCTTCTTCGTCATCTCCTTCTTCTCATCCATCTCGATCTCCGTCGACGACGTGGACGCCAGTGACATCGCCGGCGACGACGGACAGTACGCGGCGGCCGCGGCGGCGGCCATGACATGGGAGCGCATGTGGCCGCCGAGAGCGCGGCCATTGTGGAATCGGCGGAAGCAGAGCTTGCAAGTGTGCTTGTCCATCACCAGCAAACCGATCGATCGATCGATGGATCGATCAAGCAAGAATTCACTTACTTGCTTGAGCTGAGCTGAGCAGCTGCTTCTTGCTTCTTGCTTTGCTTTGCTTGCTTCTTTTCTCCTCCCTTTGCTTTCTCCTCTTGGTTGGCTTTTGGCTCCAAAGATGATAATAGTTTTATGGGGAAGAGAGGTAGAACAAGTGTGAGGAGAGTGGGGAACTCAAAAAGGAGTAGGTGACAAGCATCCTTCCACCAAGGAACAAGATCAGCAAACAAGAAGAAGAAAGAAAGACTGAAAGAAAACAAGTGGGAGAAGGAGGTGACAGACAATGCCACTTAAATACACAGCAATGGCAGGGTGAGAGAAGCAGAAGTTGCTCAAGGGTTTTCCCTGAGATTTGCAAAACCGAAGATCCAAAGTAATTAACTGCTAAAGATGGGGTGGGCCCACCTGTCAATGGCACTGTTTCAGAAACGGAAAATTGGTCTGTAAAACTGGCCACAATTCAATGCAGGATCAACCTGGCAAATCTTCAGGTCAATATACTGCAAAATGGGGCTAGTGGGAGTTACTTGCAATTTCAGAGTTTGATGCATTGCCTTTTCTTTAGCAGGGAATTAAGCAATATAGGCTGTCACATGCCTGTTGGCGCAAACAATGGAGGGAATTTATAAAGTAATTTGTGTGATGCTTTTGTGGAGGTGCATTGGATTTGACCAGTGGGAGATTATGTGCTCATGGCCAATTGTGAGCCATTTTTTTTAGATAATGTAAATTTTAAGGGATTTAGATAATGTATTGTGAGCCAATAAATTGGAAGGGATTAAACATTGAGATACGCTCAAATCTCCATTTCAATGCCTCCTTCAATTGATCAGCAACTCTTATCTTGGTGTGAGAAGATTAATTTAGCTAGGGGGACATATATGTAAAGCACTAAAGCCTATCCTGATCTCCCCAACATTAGGTTCCATTTTGTGGAAACACATACTTGCACAGTGGGCAAAGAAGTACTGCAAGATGTGACTGTATACAACTACACATTTCCTGGAACTACCACAGTAGTAGAATATTAAATTATCGATATCATCTTGTTTTACTCAAAGAAAAAAACAAACATGTTGCTAATTAGGGATGATCCCATATGCAGGGGTATGTTCAATTGACATGGATGTGCGCACGAATTAGCATGCCCTTTTTCTGTCGGTGTGCTGATTATACACAGACCAAAATTTTCAGAAAAATAATTTATCACAGCCAGATGAGATCATGAGATAACCACCGGTTGCTAGCTAATACATCCAACCTTGGTTCAGAGAAAATTGTAGATGGGATGGAAGGAATAATGGCAATGAAAAGATGGTGTCTCCCTTGCTTTATTTCTCCAATTCATCCTCCTTTATTTTCTTTCTTTTTGGTTGTATCGACCACACCAGAAAGATGAGCACGCAGCAGACGTCGGCGAATGAAGCTGTCCATCCACTTCGATCAGTAGCCAAGGACCAATGTAGCAAAAGCTGAGGTTTAATTAACAGAATCATCAGCCATATACTACTATATAAACAGTGATGCATGCAACCTGGTCAAGCTGTGATCCGGATATTACTGTGGCCATCAACGCCTTTCTTCACTCGAATCATGTCGATAATCTTGAATTGTTGACAGTGGCTGCGCTATTTTTGGAACATATGCAAGCAGAGGGATGATGATAAGATCGGTGAAAATTCATTGCACATATATTAATATATATACTCCTACCTCTGTAATGATTTATTCTAATTCAGTTGCCTACTGGAGTATATACATTTTTACACGTGCATATCGATCGTATTTTCAGCAGTAAATAATTATTTGCTGGTGCTAGGCACTGCCAGCAGGGAGTGTTAGTTAGCGTGTTGATCTGCATTTGGTGTGACCTAATCGATGGAGGAGGTAATTACTAGAGCATTGATCTTCTTCCTTTCTTTTCCTTTTAGTTGTAGGTTCACCTGGATGGACTTGGTTGTTTATGGTTATTCATCATGTTGTTCCTCGAATTATTTGCTCCATGCTTCTATAAAAATTATAATATTTATCTACTGTATTTATTATGTTCATAGCATATAATATTTAATTATTGCTACAATCAAGTAAATAATCCATCACTTTTGGCCGATGAATAAATAAAAGAGTGAATTACAACTTGTGCCACTTTTTGTTACCACGGTTTCACTTTAGATCACTCATTGACCAACATTTTTCTTTGGGCAAGGTATTTTTACCTTTGTTGTAATTTCGAATACTCTAAACCACTTATTTAACGCATCAATGACCTCAAGCATATTGGTTTCGAAACACCGGCAAACTCCTCCACCTCTCTGTAGACCATATCGTTACAGGGAGGGAGACTAGACATGGCTAAAGATTAAAGAATAGAGTTGAATAGTCCAAAGTGCAACAAAATTAAAAAAATTAGTCTTAAATAAAAAAATTAGATAAAATGTGATTCATAGTGAAACTTAAACAGCGCAAAGATGGTTGAAACTTGAAAGTACAAATCGCTCTAATTAAAATAAGCACTGCTCATGAGGAGGCATGGAGAGAGCAAATCTGTACCAGCTGCGATACTCAATTTAGGCAGATGGGCCACGTATGCATGCAGCTAGCCAGTCACGGCCGTGAGCATTAGCCAGGGCCCACTGGCCCAGCTTGGCGTTGGGGCCCACATCGCAGTTCACGCTACAGTGACACGGTCTTAATCTAGCAGGTGATCGATCAGATGGAACTACGGATTCAGATTGTGATAGATAGTAGACAGAGAGATCGAATCAGCACGATCTCTTCAAAAACAATGCAAATTTAATTTGATCAAAAAATTCCTCGTTTATTAATTTCCTACCGATCCAAAGGTTTTCTTTTGGTTTAAATAGATCTAAGTAGGAAGTACGTGTAGTTAATTATGGACTTGGTAATCGATCGACGTACTGCACGTTGTCTGTGGCGGGGACGTAACCGGATTCTGGCCCTACGTACCAGCCCGATCGATCCAATTAATTCTCTGGAGCAGTTGGTGTCACTTTTTAATTAGGGAGTTTCTGTCCGCTGCAATTCCTCTCGAATTTTTCTTTGGAACGCAGCAAGATTTCAAAACCACAAGAACAAAAAAAAAAGAATCACAGGAGTATGATGCCATGATATAACGTCTCCAAAGGAAATAAAACCATTGGATTTTGCAAAGAACATTGTTTCGTAGCTCCATGCATAGAAAGAAACAAAGGAAGTTTATAAGTCAAAACGAAGAGAAAACATTATGTTAGACCTCATATTAGTTTTCCTTTAGAATTCCTATAAATAGCCTATTTTTACAGGATTTTCAAAGAAAGTTGAAAGAGTCATTCTTTTGTTTCAAAATACCTTATACTACGTACGAATTATTTTTAGAGTGAAGTACATGAGCGGTCTCTAAACTTGTACCGGTGTGTCATCTAGATCCCTGAACTCCTAAAATGCATTTGTAGGTCCCTGAACTTGCCATGTGTGTTATATAGATCCAAACAGGTTCTAACCCACTCAATGTGCTGACGTGGCAATGCCACGGTGATGCTTACGTGTCAGTGGAATCCACATGTCAATAAAAAATAAAATTAAAAACCATATTTTCTCCTCTTAGGTAGACAGAAAAAAAAATAAAAATTTTAAGGTAGAGAGGAGAAAATATATTTTTCTAATTATATTTTTTTCTATGTGACTGACACGTGGATCCAACTAACACGTATGAACTATCGGTGCATGCCACATCAGCGCATGGAAGGGGTTGGAGCTCGTTTAGACCTGTATGACACTCCAAAACAAGTTCAAGGATCCGAAAATGTATTTTGAGAGTTTAGGGACCTAGATGACACACCCACACAAGTTTAGAGACCGCTCGTGCACTTCACTCTTATTTTTATATATGTATCCAATCCTCTCCGAACTTCCTCTACCTTTTCTTTGTTCCAAAGGAGCCCTTAAATTAATGAGAAATTTTATAGTCCTTTAGAAATTACCTGAAGGTACCAAGATTTACACTAGAAATTTTGGTATAAATTTTACATTAGAAATTATGGTATCTCTTGGTACCTTCTAAAGGATGGTAAAATTACCCTAAATCAATAGTCTAAATTATCACTTGAATTTTAAATCCTGAAAATCAGTAACTACAAAACTTAGAATTAAAAAGAAACTATAGCAGTCAAAAGTTAAAAATTTTAATATTTTTATATTCTCACAAGCTGACTACTTAACAGCCGCATCCGAGAATCTAAAGCTTTGTCAAAGGAAGCCTAATTAACTCGTCGTATTAGCTACACGTACTCCAGCTCGTACGTACGTACGTACGTGTGCTGAGTTAGCCAGCCAAACCTGCGTACTTCCGTTGCGCCCATCGGCCCATGCCATGCTTTGCTTCAGTCGTCTAAAAGTCTGAAACTTGTATACACACACACACACACCATTCGTACGTTTTGCAATCGGCATATACAAATTGATCGCAGTGTGCTGCTAATGTACATGCATGTAGAATTGTAGATCTATCCTACATGGCTTATATATATGTACAGATGTACTGATCTACCATCTCTATTTAAATGTATTTTGATGAAACAGATCGAAGAAGTGAGCCATGAGTATAGCTAGCTGGCTGGAAGCAAGCACAGCGCAAAAGCTCAGTACTATTACTTTGGTCATGCACATCCGGTGAACCAGAGTACTAGCTATAGCTAGCTGCAGCCCATGATTTCTCATCAGCATGCACGGTCAGATTTCATATACAGCACTTAGTTCAACAATTAATATACCCCAACAGCTTAATGTACAGTACATATACTCTCTCCGTTTCTAAATATTTGGCGCCGTTGACTTTTTTAAATATGTTTAACCGTTCATCTTATTTAAAAAATTTAAGTAATTATTAATTCTTTTCCTATCATTTGATTCATTGTTAAATATACTTACATGTATACATATAGTTTTACATATTTCATAAAAGTTTTTGAATAAAACAAACGGTTAAACATGTGCTAAAAAATCAACGGACGGAGTACTACTAGTGTACACGTACACAGTGCCCATCGTGGTGCACTGCTGGTATACAGTGTACTATAATTAAAGAACCAATTCAACCGAGACACCGAGTGTATGTATATTGGACTCACAATTTAATTACAAGCTAGTACTAACTACTAGTCATGTTACTGGTTGATGTTACCTAAGGATCACTGGCTTACGTACATACATGCTGCGAGATGATGCAGTATGCAAGCAAAGAAGGTCATATATGGCCCTCTTAATTGGATGGCAGAATTAATATAGCTTAATGATTTATCATAATTGTTCAAGGTTATAAACAAATGAATTAAACTAATATAAA